GTTAGCAACAATGAAACTAACAGTTTATGTTTCTTTAAAATCTGAGTATTAATAAAAATCAAATATAAATATAAAGTTTTATTTGTATTTGTGATTTGATTATTAATAATAATAAATAAAGCTGGTGTTTATTTATAAAGTTTTTTCTTGTTTACAAAGAGAGCTTTGTCGTGCCTCACAAAGCTAAAGTCTAATTAGCTTGCTAATGTCCACACTTTATTAAAACAATAAGCTTAGTTTATTTGTGGACTAAAAAAACAATAATAATAAACAAACTAATATATGTATACTTTATAAAATGTACCTAATGTCCACTCATATGTAAGGTAACTTTCAGGGCTGAAGAAAATTCTGGCTACATGCTGATTTGCTAATAACAATCCATTATTGGAATTGAAATTTTTTTAAAGAATTATTAATGAAAAAAATCTAACAATGAAAGTTTTATGTGCCTTTCACCATGTCAACAATGATGTAAACCATGTCAACAATAATGTAAAATCAGTTTTATAGCAGATACTTGCTAACAATAATGAAGCTAACAGACAAAGCTAAAGTCTAACTAGCTTGATAACACCAAGCTTTATTAAACTATGTGCTAAGTTTATCTGTGGGCTAAAAAACATTAATATTAAACAAACTAATAAACAGCTGGTATACTTTATGAAGTGCTGTTAATGTCTACTGAGATGTAAGGTAACTTTCAGGGCTTAAGAAGTCTCTGGCCACATGCTAATTTGCTAATGAAATTGAAATTGATATTCTTTTTTGAGAGATATTAATAAGAAAATCTAACAGTGAGAGTTTTACATGGATTCCCCCATGTTAACAATGATATAAAGTCAGTATTAAAAAAAGTGCTCAGATATATGCCAACTTGCTAACTGCAATGAAGCTAACAGATAATGTTTATGTGCAGTCTAAGAAACGTTAAAGAATTCTCGACGGAAAGCAACGAAATTGCTATCAAGAGATTCTTTTATACGTAAGTAGGGGCTGCTAATGATTGTTGGTCTTGTAAGGGAACCAATGACACCCCCCCCCCCCCCCCCCCCTAAAAAACACAAAAAAACAAGAAACATTAAAGTCTGATTTAAATTAATACTATAAAATTAATTTCATCATTAAACCACAGATATTTGTCCTGTCTTTTTTACTCTTTTATTAAAATTCATTTGGCTTACTTTGTTACAATATAACCCAAGCCCTATTTTATAACTCTAACCACAACTTTCCCCAGTGTATTATAATGGCAGTCTGAGCTCCAGGCTGTGTATTGTCATTGACAGATGACAGTCGCTGTAACCCTGCAGGAATATCACGAGTGCTTCAAACTGAGGTGACTGGCTTGCCAATTTCTCACTGCAATTGTAGATTCATTAGGCTAATGCTTGAAATACTTACAGACATGTGCTTTGGGTGTACATTTTAGTTTGTTCCGATAATGGAAAAAAATGTCCTGCAATATATTTCAAGGTCACCCTGCCATCTTATACAATAATAATATTAATAATCAAAAATAATAATACAAGCACTTTACATTTTAAGGAATATCTCAATATGTATGAACATGATTTTAAAAAAGACAGTTAAAATCAGTATCAAACTAAGATTTATGGATAAATAGTAAAAAAAGAAATTAAAAAATGTTTTAAAAAGGTATGTTTTATGACGTTTTTTAAAGCATCAGATGTTTGTGTTCAGGGAAGAGAATTCAGTAGGTGGGGGATAAGCGGCGCAAAAGCCTCCATCCCTAATAGTCTGGGTTTTAGTCTTAGGGTGAAGCTGTCGGTGAGCATTTGTGGAGCGGAGACAATGCGCTGCTCTGTGGAGTAATAAGGAGATTTTTAAAAGGTAAATGGGAGCATTGCCATGGACACACTGATGTAATTGATACTCGATCTGGGCTGAAATGTGAAGCCAGTCTGTAGCAATTGAAGAATTAGGAGGATGTGCTCGTATTCATATCACTGTTCTGTGTGTGCTGGAGTTTCTTATTGAGTTTCTCAGTATCATGTTGGGTGAGTGTGGGAAGTATAGTCTTGCTACATTCCTGAGATGATGAAAAGGGATGTTTGATTTGGGCCTCAATGGTTAGATTAGCATCAAACCTAACACTAAGATTGATGACTAGTGGTGACATGGAAATGTCCTGGATAGAAAAGGTGGATGAAGATGGCTTTAGTTTTTGAGCTATACAGACAGGCTGTAAGGGTGGATAAAAATGTTGATGATAAAAATGATAATGATGATGAAGTGAATTCCAGATTTCACAATTATTTGCTTATCATCAGTGAGGTAAGGGTTGTTTATGGACAAATATGGACAAACACACCACTAAGTTGCATTTAAAATATAATTTTAACAACATTTCTAAATTTCAGATGATGAATAGCTTGTCATGTGATTGTCATGATATTATTTGTTAAATTTAGGTGCTAATATGGGAATTTAAAGTGGGAAAGAATTAAAAATCTACTCTTCTTTTGTTTATTTGTTTACAGTTCTGCTTGTTATAAATGTTGTGCACTTCATTATTTTGTTTAAAAAATTGCCCCATAATCTTTAATGAAATATCATAACCTCATAGCCTGTTTTTTTCTGAACGCTACCCTAATTTACAAGTAGCTAAGTCTTGCTTATTCAGAGGCAGAAACTGGAGGATGTGCAACAAATGTGAACACAAAACTGGAGCTCCTTCAACGGACTCGACACTTGTAAACACTCGTACCATCGGGCTCTTGGCTATCAGCACTGCCCACACTCGTCACAGCTACCAAGATGACCAATCACAGAGCTTGTGCTACGCGTCTTTGCGTTGTGTAGTTACAATATGGTCAATGCGCGTCAATCACGACGAGGAGTATGTGACTGCACGAAGGTTGCGCCGGACCATACATAGGCACTTGACGCGGAAGTATAAATAAGCCTTTTGTCTTGTAGGTTGGATTAATATTTTTACAAAACTTGAGTTGAAACAAACTAGCGTTGAATGGGGAGCATATAAAATCTAACCTGTATGCATTGTCTGCTTTTGATTGGATTGATGAAAATGCATCTTGAGTTGAGACTAAACCCTAATTTATACTTTGTTGAGAGATCGTTGTGTTGAGAGATCATTGTACCCCTTGTCACATACCTTAACCATAGCTGTGCATTTATAGGTCTCCTTTCTGTTTGTGTTACTCTAACAATAACACATTTGAAGTACAGGCTATTCTATGTTTCTCTGTCCTTACTTTGATGTGTTTTACACCAGAATTGCGTGAAAGGGTAACTTACTATAAAAGTAGCTCAAACTCACTCATTCAAGGAAGAACAAGGAGGAAACCAGTTAATGTGCAACAACTTTAATTATTAAGTATACGCAAAAAAAAGTATCCATCTGGAGCTCCCCACAGGACTCCACATTTGCACCACCAGGCTCAATCCCACCTATGGCTCTCGCGCCACCCATTAACTACCAACTTCCAAGCCGACCAATCACAGATCTTGCGCTCTCTTTCTCTGTGATGTGTACTTACATTTTTTGAGAGGTGTGCGTCAGGGTCCACGTCAGGTACCACAAAGTCTACTGCCAGACTTGCTTTGTGGACTCGATGCAGAAGTCTGATGTGTAAAGCAAACAACTGGTGTAACAAAATCCATTAGCACATCAACACACAAGCAGTGGAGAACTAAATGAACCCACAAGTCATTGAACGGGACCTTCCGTCTCCTACCAGCAGATCAGTAATGAAACGTGTGTTGTATCTTTCTACATCTGTGTACTAGGTAGAAAAGGATTATCCTAACATTTACCGGTCTAAAGAAAGAAGGCAACTTATTAAGAGCTGGCACTGATGTGTGAACTTTACGATCTGGAAAGGCTACTGTAAGTCCATGTCATAATCTTAAATGACTCCAGCACTGCTCTGGAGGGGTGTTAATCCCCCCAAAAGATTCAGTTGCACAAATTCATATTGAGAGGATCTGAGGGCCTCCCCTTGTTCCAGTTGTTTCTGGAGTGGAGTTTCTGGAGTCCTGGAGGACCGGTGTCCTGCAGATTTTAGTTGCAGCTTGCCTCAACACACCTGCAAGGATGTTTCTGAAAGCCTAGAAAGAGCTTGATTAGTTAGCCCAGGTGTGTCTGATTGGGGTTGGAACTAAACTCTGCAGGACAATGGCCCTCCAGGACTGAGTGTGGACAGCTCTGGTTTAGGTGGATGTAAACACAGCTATTGTTGTTCCTTCTTTCACCGCTATTACAGTGTTCTCCTGGGGCTTTGCCTCTTATATCAGTTCTTGACTTTGTGGGTGTGTGCTCAGCGAGAGCGGTATCAGGGTTGCACAGATATTTTGATTGATAGTAGAGCTTGCTAAATTTAGCAAACATGTGAGCGCATTAATCAGTCCACTCATACAGGGACAGGGGGAGTACATATTTTCTGTCCTGATGTCTGGCCATGAAGAATTGGACGAAACCTTCAGGTTTTGCAAAGCAACGCCTTTCAGTTTTCAGGTTGTTAGGTAGATATTGAACCATGGTCCCTCTGCTGATCTGAGAATCACTAATGTTTTTACTAAATTCCTGGAAGTTCTGAGCTGTTTTTGGGTGCCCAGGGTGATTCCTTTACAAAGATTCCTGTGGTAAACTATGATAAAACATCAGAAGTACCATGTAAGTCTATAGTGTGAGTATTGTGTAGTACTGTGCTGTTTTGGAACATTTACCTTACTTTGTTTTTGTAAAGTATGTAATGTGTGGTAACATTCCTGTAGTAATTTCCACTCAGTTCTTGGTTTTCAAGGGTCTTGGTAAAACTATTAACCAATTCTACAACATTTAATTTAAAATCTAGCTAGAATCCTATGAACCAATGAAGTGTTTTGTGTATTCTGACAAACCATTTGAACAGTTTCTGACAGTAGGAACTTTTTAGTAGGAACAGGGAGTTTTACTGTGTACATTTTCCCTGGGTCTTGATCCTTTGATTGATGATATATGTGTCTCTCCACAGTACCTCAGGGGAAAAGCTTGATAATTCGTCTGCTCCTCTGGGTGGTGCTCATGGTGGAGTGGGCCAGAATCTGCTGTTGAGTCCTGCCAGTCTCCAGCTGGCTCAGCTTCAGGCCCAGCTCACACTGCACCGCCTCAAACTTGCCCAGACCACCAACACTGCCGCCGCAGCCACTGTCCTCAATCAGGTCCTCTCCAATGTGGCAATGTCCCAGCCTCTCTTCAACCACCTTCGGGGTTCAAGCATGGGTCAGTCCCATGGCGGAGCCTTTCCACCTCCACCTATAGCCTTCCCACCTCCGAATGCTGCTCTGGGACAAATGGTTGGTGGTGGCTTTACGCCAAATCCCACTGGGATCAGGCCCAGCACCTTCAGCGGAGTGTCCATCCAGAAATCTTGTCAACACAATGACTTCAGCAAGAAATCTGGAACATACCCAGCAGATATGGACCGTCGCTTGCAGTTTGGATATCTGGGAGGATCTTCTAATAAAGTATGTGATGGGGGACAGTATGGCGGAGCCAACACACAACCCAGAAACAATGTCCAGCCTAATTTCCAGAGAGACTTCTATTCTTCTGAAAGCCCAGTACAACAAACTGGTTTCAAAGGAGGAAGCAATGATCAGAGTCTGGGATCTCTTTCCTCGTCTGGCTCCAAAGATCAATGGAAAGGTCCGATGAACTTGGTAAAGATGGATATAGGAGCAGTTTCTGGGGGTTGGGTTCCACCTGGACCAGGATTTGTTGGTCCGAGAGCAGAATTGTATAACCCAGAGGAACCCACAGCAGATCCTAAGTTCAACTCGACTTGTGGGCCAGGGATTGGCCCACCCATTGGGCAACAAGGGGGATTTCAATCACAGCCACAGGTTGCCCAAGTGGAGGAAGAGAGGACTTTGTCATTACAGCCCCACCAGTTTAATGACTATCACGGGACAACACCTTCACATCTACCCCATCAGTGCACCATTTGTGAGAAGAAGGTTTACAACTTGAAGGTGAGTGGACCTGCCTTGTTTTTTGAGATTTATGGAAATGCCTCATTTGTACCACTTTCAAAAATTATTTAGAGTAACCACTTAAACAGCAAATGCAGAGCGCTTATATGACTATGTTTACATATGTTTACATCTGGTGCATCTACCTTGATTTGATTAAAAGTAGACTGTGTAAAATAGAGGAGTAAATGGGGTCTGAAAAGTTTTGAGCTTCTCCATTTTTAACCACTTTCTGTGAGAGTCAGAAACTTATAAGATGGCTTTCCAACAGTTATTTTAGTTTATTTTAATCTTTTGTAATGGGACTTTGATCTTTCCGCCTACAAAGTCTAATATTGAAAAGTTTAAAAAGGTCACTTTTATTCACTTTTAAATAGGAAAAATACTGAAGTCTTTTAATAGTCTGGCTCAGTTTTGTAAATTCGGATTTAAAATCCTGGTAATAAACTGCCAGTACTTTTTCGTATTTAAACTGTCTCTATATAATATTTCTTACACAATATATTGATTTAAACTACTAAAATGTCAATAAAAGTCACTTTGTTAAACTTGAACAATTCAATAGGTACTATTATGCAAATCAGGTACTATTATGCAAATCATAACTGTAAACAAAAACTCTGAATCCTGAAAAACAGAACCAATGAATTAACAGATATTTTTTATAGACTACAATCACAGATTACCAACACATTTTCTCAGCTCTTATGAAACACATGTAATTTGTTGCATTTCGAGAATATAACTCTTAAATATAATATAATATATAATATATAATATAATCTCTTAAAGGGATTCAGAGACAACTCTTTCATTTGAGAGATTCCATTTGTCCTGCTTTTTAAGAATTAAGTCATTAGGTTGAAAGAAGTCTAGTCAAAATTGTTTTTTTTTTACAACCTCTGGAGGGGGTCAAAAGTGAACAAGCTCAAAATATAAGTTACCTGCATTCACACCTGTTCTGAACATCTCGACTTGTAATAGGATTATCAAAAATGCATCTTAACAGCAAGTGTAAAAAGAGCTTGAACGTTGATCAAATTAGAAAAGTCATTGCAACTGTATTCATCATTATTTACCTGCTCACATCACCCCACACTCTCAGAAATAAAGGGACATGAGCTTTTACTGGGATGTTACTTTTTAAAAGCTACACATTTATTCCTAAAGGGTCCTTATTAATACCTCAAGGGTACATATTAGTACATAGAAATTACAATAGTGTACCTCTTAAAATGTTAGGTAGGTACAAATAAAAGCTTTTGAGGCACCAATATGGACCCTTTACGTGAAAATGTGTATCTTTTGAAAAGGTACCACCCCAGTGACAGCTCTAGTACCTTTATTTCCAAGAGTGCAGAGGGACAAAAACAAAAATCGGCTCAGTTTTTAACTTGTATTTAATTCTACAAACTTGAGATTAAATCACAGAGAGGTTCTAAATATGAAATGCAAATGGAGTCAAACTGCTTTTTGCTAAGCTTTGCTACTCTGCTCAAGAATTCTGTATACCATACATACAGTACAGCATGAAAGTCTGATGGCACTAACATTTTTTCAAAAAAAAAAAAAGGTTTAAATAATTTCTTATACTGGCTTTTGGTGTAGTGTGTTAGTAGGACAAATAAGTTAAAATGTCTTAGAGAAAGTTAACAATAACAAGAATTGCTTTCACATAAACTGCAATCATCTATTTATCTATACAATTTGTTTCATGTCTGTTTGTTAGTGCTTCTCTGTCTGCTTTTGCTCTTTGTTTCCTGATTTGGATTTTATTTTCAATTTATTCTTTACTGTTTTCCGGCTTGTGGAAATACAAAACGAAATAATTTACATTTCCAAACATGACTTTTCCTATTGATTGTAATAATCTAGTGTTTGAGCAGCCACGACACTTTGTTGCTCTATTTGGTTCGTCTTAGGTCAAACAGAAAATAAAGCTCAGCTAAATGCAGTATAAATAATATAGATATTATAGTTTTATTTATCTGTTTGCTTCTAATAATAAATAGTCTGACATGTTGGTTGAGGCAAAGCAGGAGAACCTGTTATTTATCCTTTGAAATTATAAACACTTTAAAATCTCCCGTTAAAAAGCCTTACCAACATCAGCATTGTACAGGCTCAGAAATAAAGTTACAGGAGCTCTCACTGGGGCAGTACCTATTCAAAAGGTGTACATATTTGTACCTGAAGGGTCCATAATGGTACATCAAAAGTACTTTTTAGGTACATTTGGGTACTAAAATGCACCTTTAAGGTACCACTGTGGTCTATTAGGGTGTAAATATGTATATTTTAAAAAGCTACTGCCCCAGTGACAGCTCCTGTACCTTTATTTCTGAGAGTGTAGGGTTTTGGAGAAAATTTATTTATATTTTTTTTTTGACATTTGATCATTTTGTGCTTTTCTTACTTTTGTGCCTGTTTGTTTTACTTTTTAAAATGAGTTTGTCCCTTCCATTCTTTGTGTTTTTATGCATTTTTGCTCTGCAGATTCTTTAAGATCTCCTAGATCCTCATCTATTAGTTATTGTGTTGTTCTTTTTCATGACTCTGACTAGTGTCTCAATCTACATTTTTGCAAACTTTAAAAATATGTTGCTCCATGTTCATTTCATTGCACGTTTCAGATGACAAATCCACTAGAGGGCGCTGTCTGTATTTTTGTAAAGCTGTAATGCGTTACTTCGGGTACATTATGATGTACGTTTCAGAAACATCCACGCAAAACAGATCACCTGAACTAAACCCAGCTAATACTGTAATAAGCAAACCTAAGAGTGCAATGCAACCACATAGTTTTGAGTTGATTGTTTTTATATCTTTTGCAAAACCGAGTGATCTGCGTCACAAGTACAACACCATTCATCGCTAATATGACCACGTAATTATCATCAGTGGGAAAAGCAATAAGCGTTTTTGGAATCATGCTGCTCCTTAGAATTTAGTTCACCCAGACACTGCAGTCAAACAGACGTTTTTTGAATCGTTACAAAAATGTAGTGTGAAGCATGAGTTTCCAATGAGCCTGTGATGCTTTAAAACTCATTTGAAAACTCTATCAGAAGACAGAAACATGTGCACATCTATATATATTTATATATTAAACTAGAACTAAGATCTTATTTAAAATCATGCCAACTGGATGTTTTAAAGTGGTTGTCTAGAGTGTATTTTTAGGGTTTGGCTGTGTGTTTATAAGATGCAAAGCAATGTGTGCTCATGTTTCCTTTGTAGAAAATCACGTTATTTTTTCATTTATCCTAATTTGATTACATATAGCTAACCAGCTAACATGAAAACGACTGTCATATTTCCTAGTTTCTCTGAAAACCAGCCCTCAAAAGGCTCTGATTGATCAGCTAACATCCAGTAATGTGCTGTGATTTACAGATCAGCTCCACATCACCAGGAAGATTGTTCGCTGTAGGCTTCGCTAGGCTAACTCTGTAAAAGTTCACACAGCTACATTACACATCATTTGCTGTTTAATGTTAACCTGCTATGACTATGATCACCTGCCAAGAAACTGTGATAGAAAACTAAATCCGGATCAATCAACAATTGTACACAATCCCTTTTCAAATAAGTTAAAATTTTCGTTTAAAATTGTTTGTGTCTAAACACTTGGGCAGGTAGCTCTGCATCTCACTGAATTATTACAATTATTATCAGCAAAAAATCATGTTTGGGAACTCAGGTTCATTATAAAAACGTAGTCCCATGTACGTTTTTGGAGACCGAGAAATATATCCCAGGAGGTACGTATTTTTGCAGTTTTTGTTTGCGCAAATCCACGAGAGGCCGCTCTGTACGTTTTTTCATATCTTAAATTTCTCTCGCAAGTGACTTTCGTGCCCGCACTGTTCTCGCTTAAACCCACCAGAGGCCGCTGTAGACTGACTGACTTTCTGACTGACTGGATGACTGACTGACCAATCGACGGACCCACCCTACTCCTTCCCTAAACCCAACCAATTTTATCGATTGACCCACCTACCCACTTACTTCCCTAAACCCAAACAACAATTTACAAAAGCAGTCCAAAAACAGAAAAGCCCTCGTCTGATTTTTACCATTTTTAGATTTTACCACATTCTCACCCTGTTACTTACTTGTTTGTTTGATTTTTTGGATTTTATTTTTGTCTTACCTGGTTTCTGGAACCGTTCTTCACCGGACTCGAACACCTTCATCGTGATTATCTCCTCTCTGCATCTCAAATCCGCTGACATTCATGACGAGCTAAGTAGACAAACTGGTTAGAGCGGGAAAGCCGTCCACACAGAAGTAAGCGGTCAGCTGGTAAGCGCAAAAAGGAAAGGCGTCACACTGCCCTATTGCGTTTGTTCAAAAAAACAAAATGCAGCCATACGTACCTCTGGCTACATAATTTGCTGTCTCCAGAAGCGTATATAGGACTACGGTTTTAGAATGAGCCTGTGTTCCTTATATTTCCTTCTGATAGGTGACACCAAAATATAGAAGTAACTGAATTAAAACTCTTTTTTTGTTGTTGTTGTTGTTGTTTTTAAACACTAGTGTAGAGAAGAAAGAAAAATACCATAGTAATTTATAGTAAATTCTATTGTGTCTTTGAACCATTCTAAAGTATATAATACTGTATATGTTATTTATTATTCATTGCTAACAAATGCTGCATGACATTGTAGTGTTAATTATATTGAACTGATAAACTGGAATAAATACAGTAGTTTACTTTAGTTTTTACTACAGTATACTGTGGTGTATTGTAGCTTAATTCACCCTATAGTATTGGGTAATTAGTTTATATTACTATAGTTATTGTGTTAATAACTCAAGTACTATAGTAGACTACCAGACAAAAGTCTTGTAGTAAATCCCAGTTGTAAGAGCAAAAAAATATTAACTTGACTTCTTGTTGATAATTTGGAAAAGTGGCAGAAGGTAAATTTTTCAACCCGGGCTCATTGTGGAAACGTAGCCCCGCGGACGTTTCTGCGGACCGCGATTTACGTCCCGGGAGGTACGTATTCGAGTGTTTTTTTGTTTTCGCGGATCCGCGAGAGGCCGCTGTGCGCGCCGTTCTCGCGCGAAAAGCCGCTGGATCGGAAAAAAAAAAAAAAAAGCAAAAGCCCTCGTCATCGATTTCGACCGCGTTTTCAGATCCCGCCGCGTTCTCGCCCTTATTTTCCGGATTCCGTTTTTCGTCTCACCTGATTTCCGGAACCCGCTGTTCCCCGGACTCGATCCCGGTCGTCGTCTACCGCGGCCGGCTCCTCCTCCGGGGCCTCCGCTCCGCCGACGCAACGCTGTGAGCTAGGCGGACAAACTGATTGCGTCTGGAAAGCCCTCCACTCGGAGGCGAGCCGTCGGCCGGCGAGCGCGAAGAGGAGGGGCGGAGCGGCGCCACACTGCCCCGCAGCGTTCGCTCGAAAAAAACCAGACGTGGCCTTTACGTACCTCCGGCCACGTAAATCGCGGTCTCCAGAAACGTCCGCGGGGCTACGTTTCCAGAATGAGCTTGGGTTGCAATTTTTTTGATGAATCATCTGTTGAACTGTATCCCAATCATCATAAATACAGCAGAAGATCTATTGGAACCAGCATGAACTCAAGATTCTCACAGAAATCAGTCAAGTTTGGTGAAGGAAAAATAATGGTTTAGGGTTGCATTCAGTATGGGGGTGTGCGAGAGATCTGCAGAATGGTTGGCAACAGCCTGGGGTATCAAGACATTTGTGCTATTCTTCAGCAGGATAGCGCTTCTTCTCGTACTTCAGCCTCCACATCAAAGTTCCTGAATGCAAAGAAGGTCAAAGTTCTCCAAGATTGGCCAGCCTAGTCAACAGATATGTACATTATTGAGCATATCGGGGGTAAGATAAAGTAGAAGGCATTAAAGATGAATCCAAAGAATCTTGATGAACTCTGGGAGCCCTGCAAGAACGCTTTCTTTGCCATTCCAGATGACTTTATTAATAAGTTATTTGAGTCATTGCAGAGATATACGGATGCTGTCCTTCAAGCTCATGGAAGTCATACACAATATTAATTCTTTTTCTACTGCACCATGACTTTATATTCTATACTGTACATTATTTCTGTTAAGTGACTATATGTTTGTTTAATTAAAGTCAGACCTTACTGTCCTGATTAAATAATTTAAAATCAAGGCATGATCATATTTCATTTTGGTAAAATAAGCATAATCTGGAGGCCTTTGCCTTTCATATAAGCCACTTCTAATACCAAATGATCAACTAGAAGTCAAGATATTATTTGTTGTTCCTAAAACTTTGATAGGTGACAAGACTTTTGCCAGGTAGTCTACTATAAAACACTATAGATAAATTACTATAGTATTTTTTCATGTGAATTTTGCTCACTTCCCTTGCAGTATGTTTATCCAGATGTCGCCTCTAGTATATTTAGTATCCATTATTAAGATCCAGTTGGCCTCAACTGTTTTTTATTTCAAATCTAGATATTTCTTCATAATCTTGAAAATGTTTGGTGATACAGGACTAAAAGCTGCTCATTGGTTACACTGGGGTGTGAATGTTTTGGTGGCAGCTGGCATTTGTGTGTGTGTGGAGTGGGGAGGAGGACGCAGTTGTTCTCCGGGAGTTTGTCACGTTCACATTCGTACTCGACTCTCTGAACTACCAGCTCTCTAATTGGCCTTTATGCTTTTGGGATACGCAAAGAAAAAAATATTCTCACTCTCATAGAGAAGCATCTGACGGACATATCGTGTGTGTGTGTGTGTGTGTGTGTGTTTGTGTGTGTGCTGTTTTCAGGACTGGGACCAGCATGTGAAGGGCAAGTTACATCTGCAAAACTGTTCGCTCTACAACGAAAGGTAAGAAGTATATAATTACGATTAACTGCTGTAGTTATAACATTGTAATAAACCTTTAGGTACTACAGCAATCATTGATATCCTGGTGTAGAAATGAGATCTTTTTAAAGGTCTTGTTCGCATGTGGTCTATTTTGATTGCTGCTCATCACCCTTGATACTGTTTTTAAGCATTTTACGAGTAAAAGCATCTTTCAAGATCTTTTACGAAGAGTCTTCTTCCACATAGAGAGGGTTATGACCCGAATTGGAGCGCTGTGTCATAAGATCTAGTCAGACCATGCACTGGGATTTAGGATCTAAATGCAGTGCTGTTCCCCCTTGCAGCCCGACGCTCACGGCAGTGCACTTTCCAGTGTCGTCTGAAGGATGTCTCAACATGGCGTTGAGTAACACCATGGCGTACACATCGGCTGCCAGTCAAGGTAAGTCAAAGCTCTTGGTTTGCTCTGGGTTGAGTATGAAAGCTCTGGATGGGGCTTTTTCCAGAGGACTCTATTTTTAGGGCTCTCAGTTTAGTCGCAGCGTTTGTGTGTAGACGGGGAACACTGAGTGACGCGTAAACAGAGTTGGACAAGTTTCTTTCAAAGTGTAACCCAGTTATTCCAGTGTTATATATGTGACTCAAAGTAAAATCTTAAATTCACAGAGAAAGTACAGTTGAAGTCAGAATTATTAGCCCCCCTGAATTATTAGACCCCCTGTTTATTTTTTTCCCCAATTTCTGTTTAATGGAGAGAATATTTGTTCAACACATTTTTAATCATGATAGTTTTCATAACCCATCTCTAACAACTGATTTATTTTATCTTTGCAATCACGGCATTTAAAGGCTTAATTGTAATTAGACAGTTTATTCTATAACGAAGGTTTGTTCTGTAGACTGTCTGAGTGTGAGTGCTTAAAGTTAATTGGAAAATTTCAATTATCTTTATTATTATTAGCCAATGCGTAACATATTGCTAAAGCGTATTTAATTGATATGGTAAATAAATAAGATTTGTATGTTGATTCTGAAATGTAAATCGCAGAAATTCTGCTATAGGTGGCCCAGTTTTCGCAGATTAAAAGTAATGTTAAGAGAAAGCCAGTATACATACACATCCTCCCTCTTCAGAAAACTGATAGAAATACACAATAGAAACATGTGTGACTGGAAACACACTCCAGGTGTGACTCGGAATGTCTTAATTGTCCACCTGTGTTTGGATTGATGAAATTGCATCTTAATATTAGCAGGTAGCACCCACATGCTCGCTCTCTCCCTCCCTCCCCGTCTGTCAGCCTGTCACAGCTGATTCAGTGGAGGAACTAGAAAATCTAACATTTAAAAATTCAGACAAAGATTGCGTTGCAAAAAGCAAAACTATTTTAAACTTACTCCTACACTGTTAACCCTTACTGTAGAATATGCAGTAAATAACTGTAAAATAGCCAGTGTTTTGCTGTATTAAAAGGAAACAGTATTTTACTGTAAAAGGAGCAGGATTTGTATGAAATTTTGTAGTGCAAAGAATAAATTACAGTAATTTACTTTATGTACCCATTACAGATAGTTACTGTGATAATAAATGGTAAATTACTGCTCAACCATTATTACCCCATGTACTGCTTTATGTTGCTATATATATATATATATATATATATATATATATATATATATATATATATATATATATATATATATACTGTTCAGTTTTGGTATGTGTATGGTCAGTATTGAGGAGAAAGTGAGACAATGCATTGATGATAAGATAAATTTCTCTGCAGCCATCTCTGTGTTTTCTTTGGTTCCTTTTATGTTTTTAACATTGAGTATCAGGAGTCAACCAATGTCAATGTCACAGAGCTAATTAAAAGGTAAAGATATCGACGAGATGCATTTAAAGGCAAAAATATTCACACAGAGCAACCAAATTATCACAATCATTTTTATAACTTTGTTTACTATTCTATAATTAATTTAATTTGCCTAGTTTAGCCAATAGTTAAGCTTTTAAATTGCACTTTAAGCTGAATATTAGTATTTTGCTAATTAACTAGTAAAAATGTGTTATTTAAAAAATATGTTAAACAGCACGTACAAACATTTTCGCAGAGACTCAATGAATTTGTTTGGAAAACTTCAAATGAAGTAGGTAAAAATGGCATTAACAGTATAGTATAAAGACTTTCCTAAATAAATGTATTAATCAGGTTATTTGTTTTTTATTATTATTATTACTACAGGTTTGGAACAACATTAGGATCAGAATATTTATTTATTTTTTATTTTTTTGCTTTGGATGACGTTTGTATATTGTTTGTATATTATTGTTTTTATTCAATGATATGTGCATGATTGTGATAAATGTAGGCAATTCCTTTGAAAAGATGCTATGTACCAAGGATGTCAAACTCCTGGAGGGCCGCAGCCCAGCAGAATTTAGTTCCAGCCCTTCTTCAACACACTACCTTTAGATTTAGTTTGATCAGGTGTGTTTAATTAGTATAACTGCACTGTTACTCTGTAGATTGTGCAGTAAATAACTGCAAAATAGCCAGTGTTTTCCAGTAATAAAAGAAAACATTTATTATTTATTAACACATTATTTTACTGTGAAAGGAGTAGACTTTGTATGAAATTGTGTAGTGCAAAGAAATAATTCCAATAAATTCTCTGATGGTTTATGTTGCTATTTATATAGACGTGCATTTTAAAGGCAGAAAATAATGATTTAGGCATCACCATACACTCCCACAGGCTGTCTGTCTTATTCTAAACACAAAGGTGTTAGAAAGAGTTTTCAGAAAATGCTGGCCCTTTAAGGGAGCCAGGTGTTTGATTTGTTTACTGCTGAGTGTGCTCTATTCTCTGTCCATCAATTCAGATGTAGAGTCTGATATGTATTAGGCTTTAAATAAGAATCTATAATGAGTAAGTAAAATGTGTTCAAATGTTTTTGAGGGTTTCTAAAATAAGGCTGTGTTTTAAGTTATATTGTTGTTATCTTGAACTGTGTACTTGAAAGCTACATTGTTAGCTAGTTAGCCTCTCCTCATATAACTTCTTACATTACTTTTGTTTAAGTATTTATTGGATATTGCATACTGCCATAATGTACAGATGCTAACAGTTGTATGTATCTTTCTGGCAACTAAGCCAAAATTAAATTCCTTCATCTCAGTAAGGTAACATTTGCACATCATCACAGGGAATCACAAAAACATGATACACATAGCCATCCACACACAAAAGCTCCACTGTCAGGTCACAGGTTGTGAGTTTGTTGCTAAGTATTTTTCAGAGCAGTGTTTCCACCTATGAATTTATATTAGAAACAATAATAAAGTTTGTTGTCATGAGATAATTATAACAATAAAAGATTGGATCCTTTGGTTTTTCGGTGTTGCCAACTTTATTTTTTATAATTACTTACTAAACTTTTTATTGAGATTTAACACAGTTTTTAATTATTTAAAACTTTAAACTTTAAAATAATTATGTCGTGTTTTTTGCTGTTCATTTGCTGATCTACCTTCCTGCAGATTTTAGTTGCTATTCATTCAAACACACCTAAACCAATTAATTAGGACCTCAACACCACTTGATAATTACAGTCAGGTGTGTTTGATATGGGTAGCAACTGAAATCTGCAGGAAGGTAGATATCCAGGAACAGGATTGAGCACCGCTGCTGTATACCATGGGGGTCAAACTCCAAGTTCCTGGAGAACTGCAGGGCAGCAGAGTTTAGTACCCACCCTGCTTCAACATTACCTGTAGATTTCTAACAAGCCTTAATTAGTTTGATCAGGTGTGTTTAATTAGAGTTACAGCTTAAAGTCCCTGTTACACTGCACTTTTCTCCCTATAGACTTCCATTCATACGCATGTGAGTACTGCTGACCTGGAATGATAGCTCATGCGACAAATTTCATAATTCGCAGCATTGGAAAGTTCAAGCTTGGAGAATGCTGACATGCGAAATCACATCATGTGATTGCTTGATACCAATCAAAGATCAGAACATGACCTCTCTGGCTTGCTTTTTCAATCTCTAATTATTTTGTTTTATTCCACTACTCGCTTTTTTTAATTCCACTTCGCAGTGCAGTATGACAGAATTTTGCATGCTCAAATGTTAGTGTGACTGCAGCCTTACTGTGCAGACCTGTAATCTGCAAGACAATAATTATATCTGCTATTTTCTTAATTTTGTTCTACTTTTTCTGTTATTTATTTGTTTCGTGCCAAAACAATAAAATAAATTTGTCTGAAAAATGTTATGCCTTCTATTTTTTTAATAACAGCTAAGAATACTGATTAATTTTAGTAACACTACAATATATTACATACTATTAATGTGTATGCAGTATAATGCTGTGATTTGTAACACTACAATACAGTAATTAACTGTACACAGTTTCCAGTTAGTTACCACTGCTGCTCTATTACAGTAATTAACTGGCAACACTGTTGCCAGCTACTCCCTGTATCGGTTCAGTTACAGTAAATAACTTCAACACTGTTGCCAGCCACTCACTGTAATGGTTCAGTTACTGTAATTAACTGGCAACACTGTTGCCAGTTACTTACTGTAACCAAACTTTTACAGTGAGTGGCTGGCAACAGTGTTGCCAGTGTTCTACTGTAAAAAACCCTGGTAAGGTCTAACAGTGTACCTTGGCAAATGACCATGAAATAAGCGGGCTAATCAATGGCTTTATTTGGCTTTGAAGAGCTGTAGTATAAGGCGACTTCATATTTCAAATAAATAATAATAATAATAATAATAATAATAATAATAATAATGTCATCATGATCACAGTGCAATTTTATACTTTTTTTTTTTTTTTTGCAGACAATTCAACTGGAAGCACTTCCTATTTACCCGCCACGGCCATGAAGTCATTTCCTCTCTCAGGGGCTGGATTTCCTGTTCACCAATCAGGAGCAAAGGTAGAACTTTCAAACTGAAAGTATGTAAAGTATATATTTAAAAAACATTAAACATGATAGCCACTTTCAAGAAAGCTGAATAAAACTTTTGATCAGTTTTGCGATAATGTGCCGTAGCTCTATTGGCTGAGCTCTTCGAATGTCTGTGGGCTTATCTCATAGCGCTGCTCTTCTAGCTCACGGGGTTTGTAAAGCAGCCAAGAGTGTTGAGATACAGAGCGGCCTAAATTTAGCTCACACTATTTCACCGACTGACAGATTACTTAGTGCTTATTATCGCAGTCTAACGGTTATTATTAAAGCCATCTTCACAGCTATAGAGCCCTTTGAGAACAGGTGGAGGTCAACTGTATTGTGTGGCTCAATCATTTTAAGAGTGAGGATTGTTTCCGTGTCAAGAGTTGTGAATATTCAGCTTTGTTAACTTCAGAGCACAACTGGATGTTTTTAGGTAATCATGAACTGATTGGCTGATTCAGTTGCTATTTTGTTATACAGCTTTACTCATGTTGGACTCCAGCAGGCGTGATGGGTCTCGTGTGAAAACTCAACACTTGTTTTTGTTGTCCGCTGACTGTATTTAGCTGTGCGATCAGCCTCCAGATTTAGAAAGGAAATGGATTTACCCTCAAGTGGTGAAATATGAGTTATTTTTTCTTCAGTGTTTTGAAGTTGGACATACTGTACAGAAGTCAATAGCTGAGGTTCCACTGTTGGGCTTAAAGCAAGCATGCTAGTGCGTGCCATTGCCAGTTGCGCTTGCACACTTTGGTATGCCAGAAACCTTGGGCCAAATAGGGCCTGCTGGGAATTGAGGAGACTTCATGAACACATTTCGTACAATTACTCATTTAGCAGACATTTACATTGATTACCTTAGCAGCGCTTTAGGAGCCAATCACACCAGACACATGGCGCACCACGCTGCCTTTTTTGTTGACAAGAAGAAAAGAAGCACATATTTATGTCACTAGGAAACGACTGAATCAGCTGCAAATTGTTTACAAATGTTGCTGTTGATATATTTATAATTGTAATATTTATCATGGTGGCGCATTGGGTAGTGCTGTCGCCTCAAATGTGTTGTAGGTGAATTAGGTAAGCTAAATTGCATCAACATTTACACATTTACAAAAAATTCAGCTCAATACATACTTTCGGACGCCAGCAAGTGTCCAGAATAGCCTGAGCAGCCATTCACACAGAATGTTTCTTTAAAAGCATGAGACGCAACACTCAGGAAATGTTTTTAAAAAATGTCCACCCTTTTAGGGCTCTATTTTGACGGTCCATGTGCAGAGCGCAAAACGCATGGCGCAAACGCTTTCAGGGCGTGTCAGAACGCATTTTTGCTAATTTACGGACAGGAAAATCCGCTTTGCGCCGTAGCGCATGGTCTAAAAGGGTTGAATTTATTTTCTTAAAGAGTTATAAGTGTGTTTTGAGAATAAACCAATTAAAGTCTCATCTCCCATTCCCTTTAAGAGCCAGCTGCGTCGCGCCAAGAGCGCATTTGCTATTTACATGACGCAAAGTAAGTCTAAGTGGAAAAAATGAGCATTTCACCAGCAAACAGTTAACAGTTAACAGTTTTTTTAACAAAAAACTGTTAAACAGAGCATCTTCTGCGTGAGAATGAGGGATAATGGATCACTTTCACTTTCGCTCTTGGATAGGGAAACCTTTACGCACAGACATTAATTAGTCTATAAATAATTAATTGCGTTTGTTAAGCGCAAATATTCGTTTCAAAACTATTTTAAATTCAGTTCTAATTTCCAGCAAACGAATAAATGAACAACAATAACGAAGTTTGTTCAAAAACCTGAGTTATATCCTAAAACACATGCTGTACCCCATATGGTCTAAAACCTGACAGGTGGGCAAATCTCAGCTTGTTTTTAGATAAACAAATATAAATATGGATATAATAAATAATACTGCTAATAATAATAACATTATTCAAAAGCAAATTGTTATGAATAAACTGAAAAAGCCTCCCGAGATGAAGAAGACATAAAAGCAGTGATTTTTCATATTTATGTAGGCTAAAAAATAATATGTTTTGTAATATTTTAATCCTTTATATTTATATCCTATATCTATCTTTATTATATCCTATATATATCCTTAATATTTTAATTTTTTCATATGTAAATATATTTGCCTATTGCTCTCTAGTGTGTATTAAGCAGTGCGTAAGAGAGGGGCAACTCTGCGCCAGAGTTTAGACCGGGTTTGTTTTGGTCTAATGGAAAATCTATTTTAGTTTCTCAAAATAGCAACGCGCCAGCAGTCCGCCTCAGAACGCCTTCCTTTTTAGACCAGAATGCCTATGGGCGCACATATTAGCGCTAATGCATTTGCTAATTAAACAGCGTAGTGCAATGCCTCAAAACGACTCTTGCGCCAAGCTGAAACTAGCAAACAAGTTTTGCGCCGCGCCTTGCGCCACATTGCGGCGGGTGTATGATAGGGCCCTTAATGTCAATTAAAACCATGTCATGCCAACTTGCTACATTAATGATCACAACGCAACAGTATTGATCACAATGCTTGCTAATGCATCTTAAAATAAATTGTAGGTTTGTCACGTGTGCGTGCAAGTCGAGGGACATGAAAGGTAAGGATCCTAGTGCAGGTTTAATAAGAATAGAACGGTCAATACAGGAGTTGCTGGTACATATGGACAATCCAAATTATAGTCATCAAACAAGCATGAGGTCAAAATAGGCGGCGATACAGAATATAGCACTAAACAAAGCTATGATCAAAAACATGGCAGGCAAAACAAATAATAACTCAAACACTTACAAACAGCAATGACAAACAAAGACTCAGGAATGAACTGGTGTATCAGTGGTGTATAAGTAGTCTAAATAATCAGCGATAACAAGCTTCAGCTGTGTGTGTGCCATCAGTGGTGCTTGAAAACTGGTGTGTGTGAAATGGCATGTTGAGATATGTAGTTCATTAATGTAACATTTGTGGTTCACCAGTGATCTGCCAGGAGTGGAATGCTGGGGCCTCATGTATCAACGCTGCGTACGCACAAAAACTTTGCGTACGCCAGGTTTCACGCTCAGAATTGCTCACGTTTGGATTTACTAACGAGGAACTGAACGTGGGAATGTGCGCAGCTCCACGCCAGCTTTATGGCTGGTGTACGCACATTTTTTGTGCGTGTCTGTTTTATTTCCATTGGCGACTCCTAGAGGCAGTTGTGTTAAATTGCACTCTACAAAGTGTCTTTGAGCCTTGCTATGGCAGCTGTATGAGACAGGTTCATCTAGCAGGTTTATAAGGTTTCCATACCATACAGTTGACCAGCCAAACATTAAAGCGCAATTTGCAGCGGTCGCCTGTTTTCCTAATGTAATCTGAGCTATCTACTGCACGCACATTCCTATAAAGACACTATCTGAAGATGAATTTGCATGCGTGAATCAGAAACATTTCCATTCAATAAATGTGCAAATAAAATATGATGCACAGACTTATTAACGATTTTAACTTGTCTTTCTCGTGATAAATAGTAGGCAAAATTTGATATGTAGCGGGGGAAAAAAAGAAGTATAAGTTGATCAGACGCTGGATTTGAACCGAATTCATGCTTAAACGTGTCGAAACATATTACCATTCGTTTTACGAGCTGCGCCACTGAGACTGTTAAGGATACTACAACATTTTACAGCTATAAATCACACTATTTCCTTTTTAAATCCACAGTGGGATGTTCAGACTTAACTGTGTTAAACGCATTAGCTAAACTCTCCCCACTCAATTTTTTTCTTTTGTTGTTAATTCCGGAGGACAAACTTGCAAATAACACAGTTTTCCTCTGGTCTATCTCCGAAAGCAGCACCTTCAATTCACATTCTGTTGAAAGTTTCTCTTTTTGCTTGCTTTTACCATTGCTTTTTCGTTGGGTTTTGCCAAAGTAGAGTCATTAGCATATTCATATGGGGGAGGAGGCAGGGAGGGGTTTTGCCCTCGTGCATGTTGCGCTCAGTTTCACGTGCATTCTGATGTACAAAAGAATATGCGTGGGATTCAGCATACGCAGTGTTTCATACATCTGAAATTTTTTCTGCGTACGCACATTCACAGCTTTGTGCGTACGCAATGTTTTAGTAAGATTTCCACGCAAGTCTTTGTACATGAGGCCCCTGGTGACTGTGACAAGTTTAACTTAAAAATTATGACCAAACTTGGTCAAATGTTTCAAAACAACAAAATTTGAAAAATATACAAAAGAAGCCTCTTTTTTTTTTTTTTGAAAGGATGATTGAATAATTAAGAATTATAATGACAGCCACAAAGAAACCAAACCAATAAAAAAAATAGATGACATCATAACAGTCTTAATTCATGTTTTAGAACAAATCAACATCTATAGATCATCTGTAATTTTGCACTTTGTTATTTTGTGTAATTATTGGCAGGAATGTTCCACCATTTAAATTTACTGACTTAAATAGATTTTATTTTTATTAATATACTATTTCTTAACTATTTTCTTCAGTAATGTGTATTAATATAGCACATTTTATTGTGTATGGCCACCCAAAGCGCTTCATGATCATGAGGGGGGGTTCTCTCCACCACCAGTGTGCAGCATCCACTTGGATGATGTGACGGCAGCCAGTGCGCTCACCACACACCAGCTATGTATGGGTGGAATGGAGTGACAATGATAGGTGATAGAGCCAATTTGGTGGATGGGGATGATTGAGATGGTGTGGATGGGGATGATTGAGAGGCCATGATGGTCAAGGGCCAATAGTGGAAATTTAGCCAGGACACCAGGGTTAAACCCCTACTCTTTATAAGAAGTGCAATGAGATTTTTAATGACCACAGAGAGTCAGGACCTCAGTTTAACATCTCATCCGAAAGACATTGCTCACTGTTAGTATAGTGTCCCGGTCACTGTAATGGGGCATTATGACTCACACTGGCCACAGGATGAGTGACTAGTTTTACAGTATTCTTTGTTCC